GTTTCGACAAGCTTCAGTGCAGCCAGTGAGATTAGTTGTTGAGCCAGGATATGAAGAACCCCATGGTAAACCTAATGCGTCTCCCAGACCGAGCATTCTAAGAAAGAGAGATCATGACAATTCACCAATTAAAGGTATGATTATATTAGTAAATATAAATGAATCAATATAACGACATGTTATATAAAAAGTATCATTTATTCTATAAACAACATACAAATAAATATATAATAAATAAGGAATAGGAAAATTCAACTACATGTCAAAACTGATGATATATTGAGTTTTTTTTTTTTTCAAGTATATTTTATTGATTTATAATGATATAGAAATTGGAAGATTTAATTTTGCAGCGTGTTGAAACATGCTTGAAAATGTTGACCTTAATGTATTAATTAAGAAAATATTTATATGTGATAGCTATGATTGTTTACATATGGAAAACAATTCTCGTTCTATTACCCAGTTTGTTGAGACAGTTCAAAACGAAAAGAATATTAAAATAGAAGTAAATTAGGTATTAGAGATAAATTTTTTGTATAGATTCTTTTAATATGCTACATTTATAATTAATTATAGTGGTTTTTATTTTCTCTATTTTCTATTATATATTATAAAATAAGACCTAAAATTTCCTGCTAATAAATTACTTATATTTGTTTAATGGATATCCATTATAGAATTTCAATTTCACAGGGGAGTCACAATTTTTTGCAGGTGCAGCTAAAAATTTAGTTCCCATATTAGCATCTTTGCCATCAAGTAGATCAATGTCCAGTCCACCATGCTCACCAAAAGGCGATCAAGATGGTGGATGCCAAAGTTCTGGATCCACGACTGTATCTGCTACATCTTCACCAGGTCTCGACGAGGAACTTGAACAATCCAGAATTACTATTAATCCTACTATAGAAATGTCGCCGAGAAAAAAACCACGCAAACAGCAACTTACAGGCGTAGAATTAACTGAACCTAAATTTACGGAGGAAGAGATGCAATTTCTCACTGAGGAAAAATTGAAGAAGGAAAATAAAGAGGAATCAAAAGAGAAGTTGTCCGACAAAAGGCAACTCTCCAATGTACAAAGTGATATTAAATCATCTACTCAACAAACAGAAATCACAATACGATCACGGCCTGTACCAAGTTTATTAGGTATATATAATACAAACATTTTGTTCCATTATATCCATTACATCATTCGTATTTTCTATGTTATGTTCTTCCTAATCATGGTATGTTTTTAGGCTCTTCTTGGAAAAACAAATGGACAGTTAGATTACAGCACTATAGAAGACCTAGCGATGTCCGACCTCGTGAGGAAAGAAGACCAACAGTTGCTGAACTGGCTCAACAGAAATACGTATTACAAAGATTAAATGGATGGAAAATCTATCATCTCACTACACAAATGGAAGATATCGCATCCCTTGAAAAACAGGTATATTGATTTGTCACATTGTTAGATTTTCCTTCAATTTATTTATCTTTAGACAGCGAATCATGTTTGTATGATACATCTGTAGGTCCATGAAAAATTAAAAACGACACTCACACTACTGGAATCGCAGCAAACCGTTAAAAGTAAACATAATGATGGTCTCGAACGCGTAAACGAACTGATTAAGGGAAACATGCAGCGCAGTAATTTAATCAGTGAGGGCATGAACGAAGCACGTACACAACTAGTTGCTATATTTCAACATAAAGGCCCTATTACTGATCTTTTGCAACGCTGTGGTAACAAACGAGCACAGAAAAAGAGGGACAAATGAGCAATTGTGCTGAATAAATACAGTAGAATCTTTATAAACGAACTTTGTTGAAGGAAAGTTCAAAAGGGAACTATTTTTATCTGTGTCACAGATTCTATATATAGGAATAAATAAATGGTTTTATAAGTCTAAAAAAGACATGACTATGTCACTATATATAATAATATGTTTATAATTTTATTATATAAATCTAACGTTTTTATTTTAATATAATACTTCTTACTCCTCTAGCCAAATGTCTTTCTATTTATTTATTTTCTGCCTCCGATTAATGCACATATCTCTGTTTAGATACGTGACTTCTTAAAAAGAAAATTAAAATATTTATTAGAACAAAATACAATTCAAATAAACATTGACCACGTTCAGGACAATATTTATTTTGTAACTGTTGGAAGTTTTCTTCGCTGAGAGGTAGGACTACTCCTCTAAATTCAAAAGTATAATCGACGCAAAGAAAAAACATTTTGCGTAAATATTTTGCTTTCAAAACATTCTATTGAACCCATGATAGAAGTATATTTCATCCACTAGACCGGTAGTCAGTTCTTATATTCAAGATCATCTTAAGTTCAGCCTTGAGGTGTCATGAACCAATCTTAGGCCGGTATTCATAGTCGGTTCTTATTTAAAGACCGTCTTAAGTAATGTCTTAAGATGCTAATGCGGCCCTCTGATTGGTTCGTGACACCTTAAGACAGAACTTAAGACGATCTTGAATATAAGAACCGACTATGAATACCGGCCATAGTAATTTTCATTCTCTTCGTTTCTGAGGTTGCCATGGTAATAACAAACCTTTTAAAACAAGCTTGGTAATAGAAATCCTGATAATTGTTAAGTACAAATATATAACGCGATTCTATGAAAATATATATTTCGTAAAGTTCAGCAAATCTTGAAACAACATGTGGTGGGGATATAGTCAACCGCTAGATTTACAAGCTGAAATAACACAAATAGAAGACTGTATTTTAAACAATCTTGAAGTATTAATTGTAGGTTCTGGTGATGCACGGCACATTGTGAAAACGTTAGCTTCATCTTATACACATCCTGCTCAAACTATAACGTATCACATTGTCGAACCGACTTTGGAGCAAGTTGCTAGATCGATACTTTTATTAAGCCTTTGCTTAGAAAAAGATTTGGGTATGTATTCGTGAATACTGATATCAAGCCTATGTTAGAGAAATCAATGGAACTAACACACATAATTAATATACCAGGACTGCAAGAGGCGACGCGATATTATTTGGAGATTTTAGGAAACACTCTTTTGAGACCGGCTACGGCTAAATATTTAGCAAAATGCGCCAAACAGCTGATCGATATTCCGACCCGCACTGTTGAGTGTCCATGGTTATCGTTAGAAAAATTTAAGCATAAGGATAGGGATAATTTGGAATCTATTTTTAAGTAAGTTAAGAGGATACAGCGTAATAAAATAATAGTTTCTAACAGTGGCGGATTTTGGTATCTGAGACGCTCGAGCAAAATTTAATTTGAAAGGTCCTACAATGCAAAGCATCTAGAGACAGACTTGAAAAATTCGTCATTGGTTTTAAGTAAAGGTACTTAATACTTCCGCAGGCATTTATGTATTTCTGTATTAATTTTTGTAATAATTTCTAATAAGATTCTGGGCACGTGCAACATGCGAAGGAGTTCCCATTGTAAATTATTGGGATCGCAGAATCAGGAAATTATTAAAAACGAGATATGACTATAGAGAAGGCGTTTTTGATTGGGATTATTATATGGTTTTAAAGCCCAGATGTACCACTAATCTTACTATACAAGAATATAGGTACGTTTATACATTGTAAGCATACAGTTAAAATTGTATACAAAATTGCGATCCAGATGATATGCTTCTTTAGTTGAAATGATTATCTCAATATACCAATGAGAAAAAAACAAAATATGTTATTATAATTATTAGATTTTGGAGAAATAATGGAATAGCTTTTACATGGCTTGAAGGTGAACCAGTTAGAAGCAATCCAACTCTGTTAAATAATATAATACAACATGGACCTGGTTTTATACATTACGCATATTTGGGAGATATTGTGAATGGTCCCTTTTTTACGTGGGCTGCTGTTGGAAAAAATGAAGACAAGTAATAAAATATATTCGAAAGAGAAATTTACATACTTGCTTCCTATAAATAAAAGTTCTTAAATCTTAAAGACGTAGGGCAACTGACATTGCTGAACGTGAGATAATGCGTGCAATTCATGAAATAAGAACGAAAGAGCCACTATGTGAAGATCATGTCGGTGCTCATAGGGATGTCTCGATTTTAAATAGCATTATAGTGAGCGAAATGCCGGATATCGAAATGGAAAACGAATCATGGACAAGTACTGGAGATAAATCTAAACAAGATAAAAAGATTTCTTGGATAGAAGTACCAAATCACAAGGTACGTTTTGTACTCTTTAATAGCCAATGTGAATGAATTTGATATACCACACTTATTTTTAGATAATATTTCATCCTATAACGTCGCTGGAGTCTCTCAAGTCTAAATGCGAATATATAAATAGATTCCATCTGATTTGGGTGGCACATAATATGACTAAACAATTACCAAATTTGGTACCATTGATATCTGCTGATGCACCGATGATTGTGGAATTGCGCAAACATATGGCAAATCTTCACAAAGAAGATTTGCAGAACTTTACTAGAGAATTGAAAGAGATCGCGCAGACGAATGGACTCCGTTCACTCTACGACTTCGATTCTAATACACATACTTTTGCTCGTTTCTGTAAAAATTAAAAAAAAAGTCCTTGAGTAGTTAAATATATTTTAATAGATTATAATTGTGACTATGTTTCACACATACTGTTATAAGCTAAATACTATTATAAAACATTTAATCGACAAAATACAAATATTATACAGAAAATAAAATGTCAGTACACAATTAGGTTGAAAAATATTAACGATTTTCAATCTATATTAAAGACAATCTCTTTAAATAATTCTTTTTTAAAAATTATAATATAATTTTACAGCTCGTTTTTGCCAAACAATAATACAGTAAAAAAAAGGGATAGAAGTAATTAAGGGATACAGATAAAAAATAAAAGTAAATTTTATTACAAAATATCAAAGGATTTTGACTAACAATGTTTTTTTGCAAAATAATAAATACATAATTAAAATGATTTTAAAAATATCCATAATAATCAGTAATTAAAAGCTGCGAATGGTTATTTTAAATTACTGAGAATAAAATTAATTATGTTTTAATGGTATAAAGTACTCACTAGTATGAAGGTGCCTTTTCATGCTGACGCTCGACGCTCATTTTCGCGTCAAAATAAGTCACGTGATACAAATTGACGAATATCAAGCATCAATTTTGATCACGTGACCTGATTGGTCGCGTTCAGCAGACTCAACTGTTGCGGAGCGGATCAGTACGCGCTCGCTGCTGTTGGATGATCTAGAATATTCTAAAAGAATACACTAATAGCAACGAGCGTTCACGGATTCGCTTCGCAACAGTTGGAGAGTCTGCTGAACGCGATCATTTTGACGGTAAAAATGAGGATCGAGCGTCAGCATGAAAATAAGGGCACTTTCATACTAGTGAGCTTTATACCATTGAAATAATTAATTTAACTCTCATTAATTTAAAATAATCATTCGCAGCTTTTTACTACTGATTATTATGGATATTTTTAAAATTATTTTAATCATGTATTTATTATATTTTATTGAAAAAAAGATTGTGAATCAAAATCCTTTGATATTTTGTAATAAAATTTACTTTTATTTTTTAGAGGCTCTCTATTACAGGAGGTGTGCGAATAGTTTAAAATCAAATCTTATGATGAATTCGATCATTCGCACTACACTACATCAGTGTATATTAAAAGCTGCTTTAATAAAATATCTCAATGCAGTGATACAGTATAATTAATTTTACCAATGAAATGATACATATATATTTTGTTAAGTGACGTAACAATATCATTAGTAGATAGTTAATCATTTAAAATATTTAGATACTTTTACTTTTAACTTTCACATTTAACTTTGCTAATTTCATGTAAAGCAGCTTTTAGTATGCACAGATCTAGTGTAGTGCAAGTCAGTGCAAGTGATGACCAAATTCGCTAATAATAGATTCAATTCGATAAGTTTGAGATTCGAGAAATCGAAATAATCAATTTAAAATTTCGAGAATCATCGATGGTTCGATTTCAAATCAATTGCCTATTTTATTTGCTTAATTTATACATGACTCTCATATAAGTTGGAAATGATTTATTTTCTCGTTTACTTAAAAAAAATGTTATTGAAAATATTTTTAAATTAGCTTTTAATGTAAATTCAGAAAAATTTGATTCAAATTCGATTTGTTTTCGAATAAAAAAGATTTGATTCGTTTTTTAAATTTTTGAATATATTATCAAAGATTCGATTCAATTCAACCTCATATAAATATTTGATTTGCACACCTCTAGTGTATTATTTGATTGGATAAAATAGCTGCAATATTGTACTTTATATTCTTGTATTGGCTAGTTCCTTAGCTATTTCGGACACTACGTTCTTATCTTTTTCTTCTGCCTCTTCTTCAGATTCTGTATCACTTGGTGGAAAGTCAGGAAGCGCTAAAGAACACAAATATCATGATATACATAGGATAAGCACAGAATAATTAATGTTCTTACCAAGTCTGTCTATTTTTTCCTGCTGGATATCCTTTAAAAATTTTTCTTGTACAGCTATTATTTCTTCAGTATTTGCGCAACGAGCGTATTTTTCCAACAATTCGTTGTTTAGTTCTAGGAACAAGTGTCCCCAACTAAATTTGTTAAGAATAAGGTCAGCTTCGTCTGAAAATCCCGTTATGATTAAAGTAGCTGCAATAGCCTCAGCACAACTCAATTCACAGGGTTTTGTCGAATTGGCAGCAACCAAGAAAGGCAATATGCGAGGATGGGATGTCCTTACTTTGTTGAAGGGAGTGTCGTCGATACGTGACCAACTACAATCAACAACTGCACAACCATACTTCTCTACAATCTTGCGATCCAACGGAGTCACGCACTACGACAAACATTTTATCTAAGAATCTAGACGACGAGATCATTGTTGTTTATTGTTTCTTTATTTTACCATATTGCCTACTGGAGTAAGGCAAAGGCCTGAAAATCTTGTACCCAGTCGCAGCAGCTTTGTTAAACCATGTCTCACTAGTTTCTTGCCAGTACCATGTTTGGACTGTTTAGAGCAGTGCTCTAGATCCCACATAGCCACAGGAAATGGCAATGACCATTCGTTTACCGTCTCTGCAAAGAGATCACAGTCCCAATATATATTGGGAACAAAACACGAAACTCGTCTTAATCTAACCTGTTTCATCGTTCTCCTTATCCGAGCTCTCAGACCTCCTGTCCCTTGTCTGATGATACCTCAGCTCCTTGCAGAGAACATTACGGGGCCTTCGTTGCAGCAGTTTATTCTTGTCTTTCTTCCTACGTCCCGACATTTTTCAGGTACTCTGCACTATTCTGTACTCTTCCTTGAACGTACGTTTTTTCCAAATGTGTTTATCAGTGTTTACGTCTAATCGTAGCTTAACCTAACATCTGCTGTCATATTATCATGTGATATCGCAGGAATGTCAAACATATGTAAACACTGTAACTGTTTAGTTTTTTTGTATTGACTCCGCGCGTAGTTGTTACACGAATTGTTATGAATATTAGAGCTCTACAATTACATATTAACCAACTATACGTACATAAATGTAGTTATTGGTAAATGTTTCTTTAACCATCTTACCTTAAATTTTGATAAAAATACACTCATTCGATACCATTTTGTGTAGAAATAAAGGTTTCTATTGATTTTTTAAACATGTCATCACAAAATTGTTTCAAGGAGTTCAAGGAGAATCTGACAGAATAATTACAATGGAAGATGTAATACAAACGACAGAGTACGATTCGATTAAAGATGACGATTCTCTATACGTCGCTTCAAAATGTTGGAAACGCGTTATGGATACTGCTAATAAAGTACGTAAGCGATTTTTAGCAGAGTTTCTGAAAACGCGATATTTATGTTGCAATTACTTACTATGCCGCATTTGATAATCATATTTTTAGACTGGCTACAGAGAAGGGATACAAGATGGAGCAGACTCTGTGTTGCAAGAGGGATTCGACATTGGTTACAAAGATGGTTTCGAGACTGCTTTCACTTTGGGAAGGTACAAGGGTCTGGCTGCCGCTTCAACGTTCACATTAGAACATCCCACAGACGTGGCAGCTGTTCTCAAAAGAACTAGACGCGGTGCGTGCTGGATATGCAAGGTGGAATCGCAAAATAAAACTTCCAATTCGCATGAGCAAGCTCCATTCTCTGAAGTCCTGAGCAAGCAGAGAGAACACTCCGCAGAAGTAATAAACAGGCTACACGAGCATTTTGAACCAATCTTGAAGAAATCGGGCATTGAAATCAATTCAACTCTTTAGATATATTTAAGTATCTTAGCAATATATTTTAGCAATTTACAGATTTACGGAACGAATAATTGATTAGATTATATATATTAAAAATAATGTGTTTAATATATATTGCTACGAAAAGTTAATTTCCTGTAGAAATTTTTATTGAGACACTCAATACAGAGTTTCACGACTCAATACAGAGATAAGTGATAATGAACTTTTTTTTATAAATATAATCCTTCGGGAGAACCTTCCTTCTTTCGATATAACACACTTTCCTTGGATTTCTTAAAATCATCGCTGGTAACCTTCATACGTCGTTCACGTAGAGCCATTAAACCAGCCTCGGTACATATTGCCTGAAATAAAAATTTTAAATCCATTTTAATGAAACAATAAAAAAAGAGGGTTTACAATTTTGCTTTAACTTCGTTTGGCATCGATTTATTCTTAGAGCCACGAATATTGTTTTCTCTTATTTTAATAAAAAAAGAACTGCGTGAAAATGCATATACAGAGTTGAATTTTCACAGAAGATTATCCTACCTTGATGTCTGCACCAGAAAGATCATCCTTTGCCATAATTAATTCCGCAAGATTCACATCAGGTGCCAAAGTCATTCTACTTGTGTGAATATTGAAGATTCTTCTTTTAGTTTTCTCATCTGGTAACGGGAATTCTATTTTCCTATCGATTCGACCCGGTCTAATTAAAGCAGGATCTAAAGTCTCTATTCTGTTAGTAGCCATAACCACTTTCACATCGCCTCTACTATCAAAACCTAGTAATAATTTTTCAAATTTAACATCTGATATGTCTATTATATAATATCTAATATATTTATTAATATCTATTAGGTTGTCGAAAAAGTCATGACGTATTTTTTCTATATAAAATGGTGGTTTTCTTTTCTAATATATTCTACAAAATTAACATCACTTGATAGAACAACGTTTCAGCTTTAAGAATCTGTATTTTTAATTATACGATGATTTTTAATGGAGTTACGAACAATAAAATTAGAATGTTTCTTTTTATTTAATCCGTGAATAACTCAGGAAAAAAAT